TGAAAGCGCGCGCATGAACAAATGTCAGTAGCATAGACAACGCGCACGTACCAACACAAATCCGGCCCAACTTTCGGACAGCTGCGACGAATTGCGCGTGAATTTTTCGCTCGCGTAATCCTCCTCGATGCAACAGCGAACGCTCGCCTCCCGCCGCAGCTCTTTCAGCCTCGGACTGACATCGACGCGCGTGGCGGGCAGCTGAAAAGAGACCGATGACTAAACACAATCCTGACCGGAAAGGCACTGAATAACGTTCACATCCATTATTTATGCCCCAGCATTCTAAATTACCATTCTTCTACGTTATTTATTTAAACTAAGCCGCCGCCGCCGATCCATGGCTGATGGCATCAGACATCAGGATCAGCACATTAGGTGGGCAGATGGCTAGTGCCCTAAACCATGAAACAACAAATTATGCTACCGATCCAAAAACGCCAAACTTCATGCATGTTTTCTTACTGTTGCTTATTTCGGTCTCGTAATGACAGTCAGATTTAAATCAACAAAAAATTTCGCCACATGGCGTGGTCCCATTTGATTCCTTACTTGCCAGATGACAGCCGATGTTGTCTAGACGCAACGTCGACAATAAAATAAACTTAAAACTCCAACATTAGTCTACTGGTTGTACATAACCACAGAATTTTAACACTGCCACTTATGTTGAAGAAAACACGAAATCAAAATGAATTTTCGAAATTATTCGCGCCAAATGTTTTCGGGACGTTGTCACACGAGAATGGATTTCGTTATAAAAAGTTCGTTCAAAAATAAGATCCATTTACGTATTCACTGAAACAGCGCTGTTATGCTTTCCCCGGTTTATAGGCACTGAACACTACAATTGTGCAGAAACGTTCCTCATGTACAGAACGCGGTGCAATAGTAATAATATTTTTGCCGAAATCACAATCATGACATTCCGGCGGGAGCTTGCGTGCCTCAAAACACTAAATGCTATGCCAGCAAAGCATTCAGTTTCTGGCAGGACCAGTTGTGCTAAACAGAACTGAAGTGAGAGGTCAGACTACGTGCAATCCACCATCTACCAATCACGATGTCACAGTAAAAATGCTCCTATACTAGACTGGTCTACGCCAGGGTTACCGAGGGCCATGCAGACTGTGGAGGAACTGACGCAGCCTCTGATAAACTGGCAAATATTTCCTATTTCGCGTATTCTCGCACTTGAAAACAGTGATCGGAGGTTGAAAACAAGGTTGTAATGAGGTGCTATTACATTGCTGCGAAGCAGGGCAGGGTTTATCGAAAAATAATGCACGAAGAATGGAGGAACGTCCACCCCTAAGTGATGTAGTGAAGCAACGCCTAGAGGATCACAAACAGCTGAGAAGAACATTCAGAAATGGGACTACATGAGAATAGAAGAGGGCATGACAGTGAAATCACTTAACTCAACCCGATCCAATACATTAATGAAACCATCCAATTGAATGATAGAGATAAATCCCTTGGGTAGCAGATTGTTCAGGAGAATGAACCGCTCGAAGAACCTAGGAAACACCTTCCCCCTATGAGTTAGAAGGAGCTCCTTGAATGTGACTCAAGCTAATAGTTTCGCGAAGACTAATCCATCAATATATCATATATATTCATGGTACTCACGTCATCGAAAATTATACCGGCTCGGTCGTCGCCCGGGTCACCAAAGGCCGCGCAGGCTGTTAGGAGACTGAGGCAGACTGCGTAAAGTCGGTGATCAGAACCTGCTCATCGCCTCTGCCAGCCGGCGGCGTAGCAGCCTAACAACGGCTGACGTAGATCGACGAACGACGACGATGATACGAGTCAGCAACAGAGTCGGTACCCGCTTTGAACGGAGGAGGCAGAAAGCGCCACGAATTCATAGCACGTCAGAACAGGTCCCACTAGAACGATACCGCCAATGGCAGCCTACAGTCGGAAATTGGAATATATCCTCATTCAGAAGGAAACAGCAAGAGTTCGTTGATGAGGCCATAAAATACCAACTTGAAACTGTTTGATTCTCGTCAACGAAGAGCCAAGGCTATGGAATCCTGAACCTCTGCGGGTGAAACCTATTCAACTCAGGTATCGATCGATATCACGATGCTCGCGCAGGTCGGTCTTGGCGTTCTGGGATAACCTAGCCTCGCAGATCTAATCAATGATTCGAAGCCTGTCAAAGAAAGGTGGCAATCTTCCGACTGAAGCTACAACCGGCAAAAGCGTTGACCTTGCTACAGGTCTATACGGCCAATTTGGATGGAGAATATGATACTTTGCTTGAGGAAGCGGAGTGTGACCTGTGCGAAGCACCGACTGTGCAGTCTCTCATTAAAATGGGCGAATTCAAGGCGCATTCCAGAGCAGACGCCGCAAGGTGGTAAAATGAGATCGGAAACAACGGCCCTAACGACCTCAACAATTACGGCATGAAGTTGTTGAGCTTATGTGCAAACAACGGACTGTCCATTATGAACACATTCGCCGAGAATCGAAGAGCGCATGGTATACCTGGTACCTGGAAGTTTGTGCACAGAAGTTGATGATCGACTTGATAATCGTATCGTCTGACCTAAGACGCTCAGTAATGGATGTTCGTGTTAAAAGAGGCGCACAGCTATCAACCGATCACCACCTTGTTGTTGGCACGCTGCGCTGCAAAAAATGGAGTACCATACGAAGATCCGGTGGCAGAAGCAACCAGAGAATCAAATGGGAAACACTGTCTTCGTTGGACACGAGAGCGAAATTTGCAAACAACATTGTACGACGGTTTGAACAGATCCCAGTGATGACAACTGA